GCCCCCCCCCCCCTTGTAACAACCTTGTATGTGTTGGGAAGCTTATCCTACCTCTCTCCTCAGTCATCTCTTTCATAGTCTAACCAAAGCTGTCCAAGTTCTGAGTGGCCGAGGGTAGAAGTCAGCACTGACTGCAGTAGAAAAACAAACTGCTGTGGAAAAAAAATAAAAGCACATAAATTACAAGGAAAAAAGTCAAAGACAGAAGTTTTGTAACCCTCCTTCCCTTTGTTAAAATGAAAATCCATCCTGCTGCAACCTTAAGTCCAGTGGTATTACCACTCTGGTATTGTATTGCTATGCCACGTTAGGGTCTGGGGTAGAACTGGAAATACAAATTCAGATAATTTGGTCAAGTCATTCCTCATATACAGCCCCCTGGTAAAGGCTTTATTTGAATTACCAAAGTATTCTAAAAATAGAGTGTCTTGGAAACTATCTGCTCTTAAAAGGGCAGGTGGCAGCTTACTGAAAATTGGGTTAGATTTCCAAACTACAGCCCACCACATTAGGAATGTCATTCACTTTTCAAAATGCTCTAAAATCCATGTACATCACAAGGTTATCTTCTGTTATTCTATAAGAAGGGCAAGGATATTCTCCATACAGTACATGTGGAGTAATTTGGTCAAGAGGTTCCTTATACAGCCTTATATGCATAACAGGACTGCATTAAATATTGGCATTTCACAACAAGTAATGAGAAAAAATGTGGGTAAGTGGGAGAGAGAACAATCACTGAGAGGAATAAATGCCTTCAGAGTTGTTCTGTCAGGCTGTATTCATCTCCATGTACTGCTTTGAGATGAACAAGCCACTTTGCAACTCTACAACCATACCTTACTAGTCCTCAAAGGTGGAACTGGAAGCTCCCCTCCACTGCTGGCTGCCTCCAGCTGGCAGAGTTACCGGCTTCTTTATTCCACGTGGCCCTTCCAACCCTTGTGGGATCATGGAGGTATCAGAAGGACAGAGCAAGTAGCTAAGTGGTAATGTGATATTCCCAGAAAGTGTCCTTCTGGATGCCTATAGGTGCTCAGCTTCTGCTCTCTCCAAGGGCAGAATTAAGGTTGTGATGCCCTGCCTGGAATTGTGTATCTTGACCTCTGTATTTCTTAGTTTTCAGAGTACAGACACATACAGATTTCAAGAAGGATATGGGTTCCAGATGATCCACATTAACATAGTTTTTGAACAGTGATTTAATACAGTTAGACTAAACCAAACCTCTATTGGGAAGACATATTATTGGCAATATTACATTTATAGGTTACTTAGGATGGAATATATGAGATATCCAAATCTGTGGATTTGTTAAATATGTGGAGAAGGTACTCAATCATGTTTTGTGGAAGTATTTACAGATATTGGACCAGATACAGCCAGGAATGAGAAGGGCAGCCTTGGACATGCACCATTTTCCTGTTTTCCAGGATCTTCATTGGCTTTGATGGAAGATCAAGAAGCCTCAACTCTTTTCTGGCATACACCAGCTGTTAACAGCCCAAAGACCTCTCCATTTAACTTTTACCTTGAGGACCACATACTGCTGCTGGAGAGGCAGCTTGGCACATGGGATATGTGGTTTAAAATGCCATTCATTTCCTTCATGTAGGTAACCCTGTCAAACTCCATGATGCTCAAGAGCTGAATTCCAAGAAAACTGCCATGTCCCTGTTTCCAGCCAGGCACCTGGAGTTTGTGTGCTGTAGACAGCTAAATTTTCTTAAATTTCTACTTTTGTTTCAAAAAGCAACACTGAGAGCAAAACAGTCAGAGAGTTTCAATTTGCTTTATAAATATCCCGAAAATTTATTAATTGAATGGACTGTCATTTAAAGAAATACTGTAGTGCAGATGCAGGTGCATTATACACTGGCAGATGGAACGATTTATCCAAATCTCACAGTGTTTGACTTCATCTGCCAACATACCTGATTTGGGATTTTCAGGATTCACTTTGACCTGTTCAGTAAATATAATGTCATGCACCCAGGCCAAAGAGAACCAATCCAAACAGGACTCAGCAGTGTATGGTGCACTCTTCCTGAGTCCTGAGGAAGTTGGCATGGGACTGTAAGATGTTTCAGCTGTGCTAACTAGATATTCAAGCTGCCTTCACCCAGTGGAATGAGAGTTCACATAGCTTCCTCTGCACACACAAGAGTAAAAATCTAACCCATTCTTTCTCATGCATTTTGAAACAAGTGATACCCATGGGCATATTTAGGCTTGCCATGAGAGGGCCTGGCCACACTCCCTTTCATCTGTGTGGTTTCTGGGCAGAGAGCTCTTTGAGTTCATTAGCATGTCAGCACAGTGAGCTCTGAGCTCACAGTTGATTGACACAGGCTGTGGCTACAGTTCCTGCTTTCATGTAGCTCTAGAGTCTGGGGAGTGAACACTGCCACTGTTCACCCTCCTCACAGTCCCCCCTCCCAGCGGGGGGAAAGTGGAGACAAGTGGTAGTGGTGCTCACCCCTGGGACCTGGAGCTGCATGAAAGCAGGGACTCCAGCCAGAGCCTGTGGCAATCAGTTGGTGAGCTCAGAGCTCACGGCATATGTGGAGCTTGGGTAGGAGCAATGCAGACATGCTGGTGAGCTCAGACAGCTCACTATGCATGCACAGCACACCTGGAGCAACCATGCCACTCCCCCACCTCCCCATCCACTAGATCTGTCCCTGACTATAGTCTGCTGTTCTTTGGACAAACAAGACAGGTAAACCTACCTCCATCCTGTTAAAAGTCCTATTTCCATCCCTTTAAAGGTTTGTTTCACACTATGTTCTTTCTTCCATTATCAATGCATATAAAGGGAAGAAAAGGACTTACTGTACAATAAGTCTAAAAGAAACGTTGAACATAATAGGTAGATATGGGATCAAATGTTCAGCTGATATAAATCAGAATTGCTTCACTGTATGTACCAGTGAAGGATCTGCACCTTAAACAGTAAGTACAGTTTAACAGTTCCTTTTCAGTGCCCCTAACCTCTTGTACTGCAGTCCAGCATTCCTCAAATGAACTACTGATATGATGAATATTTGCAAAGGTAGAATATAGGTTCAAAGAGAGAATATAAGATTAACTTATTTTTTATACTCATTGTATGGCTCCCAGAGTTAGAAAACCTTCAAGCTGAGTTACTTCAGAGACAAGTTCTTAGCATGCATTTTGCCCAAAAGACTTCAGCCTCCAAAGATAGGCATGTTTTATTTTAATTCATGACTCGCTTCTGAGGAAATAATAAAGATGCCTCTACTTTCTGTCTTGATATTCCTTTTTATTTCTGGCTGCTCCCTCCTCCAACTCTGAGTCTGTGCACTGCATTCATTTCCAGAAAGATATGGATTTCCTCACCTCCATATACCTGTTTTGTCTTTGTTATAACCTCCTGTAATACTCTCTGGGCACGTCTACACATTAATTAATGAACAATGGTTATTGCACATTTATTTAGTACTTGTACAATCAAGTACTAAATAAATGCATTGTGGCCAGAGTTACTACACAGTAGCACCAGAAAATACCTTTTTAGTAACACTATTACACAGTAGTCTAATAATACTACACAGTAGCATATTAGCACTGTCCATGATGTGATGCTGTACTGCGCAGTGTTATTAGGGTACTGCACAGTTAGCATCTGATGTAGATGTGCCCTTTCTGTCATAGCGTCATAAATTCATAGAAAATTAGAGTTGGAAGGGACCCCAGGAGGTCATCTAGTCCAACCCCTGCTCAAAGCAGGATATATCAGCCAAAGCTTTGTCTAGCCAGGTCTTAGAAACCTCCAAGGATGGAAATTCTATAAGACCTCTGGGTAGCCCATTCCAGAGCTTTATTACCCTCCTAGTGAGAAAGTTTTACCTAATATCTAATTTAAACTTCCCTTGCTATAACTTGAGACCATTGCTCTTTGTTCTGTTATCTGTCACCACTGAGAACAGTCTAGTCCATCCTT